CCCCAAAACCCCAAAACCCCAAAACCCCGGGCGGTGAACGAGAGGTTGAACCAAATTACTATGTACAAATCATACTTTTTAGCAATTTACACCATGGCTTATCTCTCGAACCTGAACTAATCTGAAAATGAAACATATATTGACCGACTCCTGAGCCTCCAGGCTTGTGAGAGGCCAGCCTTAGATTAACTTATCCACCAAGATTCACTTTTTTGGAGCATTTGAATGTTAAAAACTGAGAAATATCTTAGCCCACTTAGCCTTAGTAGTCTGAACCCTTCAAATTTTAAGCTACTAAGACAGTCTAGCCACACCTTGGATGCTGAAGAGCAATAGAGGCTTCTCTTAAAATTTGGGAACAGAAATTCTATTAATATTAAACCCCAGCTTCCATAAATTCTTGCTAATGTTGCCTGATTTTCTAAATGGGAAAACTTATGGCTATCAAATTGAATGAATCGGCCAGGTTATCTCTAAACCTTGTTGCTAGGCCAATTCTGACTGCAAACGCTTTTGAAAAATCTAATGATTAGGTGATTTGGGACTATTGTAAAAACTCTCCAGATTCATTTAATCCTACAAAGCTAGTATAACTGAGCAGGTGGAGCTGGAGCATCCCTAATCTGGCTAGGTATGCTGAAACAAGCTTATAGCGTTAGCCTAGCCTGGTATTTTAGTTGGTATACAGCTGCTAATATACCTCCATTCTCAAAATGCTTTGGTTGTTTCAGAATTTTCATACCCAAGTCATTGAATTTTTGGGTGATAAGCTAAATGAGGATTAAAACGCGCCACATCTGGCTTCCTAGAAATTGCTAACACCTGAGCGTTGGGTAGCTAAGTTCATATATTGTGTTCTTCATTTAGAGCCTACTATAAAAATAAGTGGCTATTCTCAAGATTACTAGTATTCTTTTATCAGATTTTTCATGACACAAATCTCATCGATAACCCAGACTAAATTTCAGTATTTCAGGTGCACCAAACTACAGAAATAGGGCCACTTGGCCTGAATATGCCAGCTTTTATTAAATTTGATGCATATACATAAATTTTAACGCCATCATGAATGGAGTGGGTGGCTGCTCACAGTCCAGAAATTTGTAGAACGTCAGAAACCCTAATTACAAGTACACTGTATTGCTGTGAGAAGCTAGCCTCAGAGTCGGGTGGTATCACCAAAGAGAGTTTCTCTGACGTCTGAGCCTACAGTAATAGCTTTTACTTGCTTCAGAGGCTATTTTCTATTTTTCGAAATATAAACTGGTTTCCCACCGCGCTCTTATTTCATAAATTCTGTCAGTATTAAAATTATTTGACTTATATTTTCTCTTATAAATTTTCTGAACGGAGAACACTTTGGCAAGGAACTGAGAAACAAATAAAAATAGTTAGGGCAAGCTAAGACTTGGATTTTTGTTGCCTAATTGATGGGAGATGAAGATCGCTGATAAAATAGAACTTTATAGTACCCTAGCATCCTACTCTGAGACCAGCAACCCAAAGCTTCAGGCATTTTGGAGTAACTCTGGATAACTCTGGAGCAACAAGAAGAAGCTCTTTGAAATAGCTAAAGTTCTGTACAAAACTAAGGAACAGATACTTTCTTTTAAAAATAGTGTTTAATTCTAGATTTCTTGTTTTCAATCCAAATATGACTGAATGGCAATAAAGTAGGTTAATGGTGCAGCTAACTTTCACTCTATAAAAAGATCTTGAACGGACTGGCGTTTATATAATAAGCCCTTTCACTTCTGCCATGATTAGTGCAGACTATGAGGAATCTTAAGGAAGACTAAAAGAGGTGCACTTAAATCCCATAAAAATTGAAACTCGAAGAACTTTGTTTGAGTAAAGTTTATTAAAATTAGATTAGTGAATGCTTCCTGTTCTTCCTCTATTAAGCTAAACTTTGCTCAAACTCTTGCTTGATTATTCTAATGCGGGGATCATCCCATTTCTGGGTCAGATGACTACACAGAACTCTGAAATTTCGAGATTCGAGAAGAGCGCTAAATTTCTTCCTTGAAAATGCCTCACAACATGTATGGAACTTGGAAATTTCATCTTGAGTTTCTTTACTTCAATCAAGTCTTGATCCCCACTTGGGGTTAACAACACCAATGGTGTAGTTCACAAGCTCTTCTGTGAGTTCTTCTTGGGGGAAGAACTCACAAAGTAGTGTTTTCATCTGGGATTGGACTTCTTGCATATCTCAGTTAATATACCTTTTTCTAACAATTTTATAATTCTTTGACTTGAAGATATTTTAAAAAAATCTTTTGAGAAGTCTCAGAGCTGCCTTGAACTCAATATCACTTCTTCCTGAGGAGGATGCCTTGGTTCTTCTACGAGAAGAGCTACTAGAGCCAGAGGCAGACTGAGCATTGGCTTGGTTGCAACTTATGTCCTCCTTATTATCTCCAGAATTTTTAGCTGATTTAAATTCATTTCTCTGAGAATCCTTGGAAGCTTCAGAGATGCACAAAAAATTCAAATCGCCTTCAAGCTTTCTAACTTGATAATCATAGAGGTCTTCTCCACCCACCGAAGCTCTTGTTGAAATGGGTGGCTCTGGTCCCTTTACAGCAGGAAATCAAGCCTGCTCTTCTTCAGAATCAAATAGGCTAAAATCTTTAGCGAACACTTCCTACAACAAGGTTAGAATATTCTTAAAAGCAAGAAAGGTCAATATTCTCCACGGTGTACTTAGCAACTTAAGATATGTGCCAGAGGTTCCAAGCATGGCATGTTAGCTTACCGGTGTGATACAGTTCGATGCTGCACCTTCAAAGACGTTTCCTGGGAGCAACGCTTCTGTGTCTCTGGTGAAGAAGTATCCATCGTCATCAGTGCGAGCGAATCTGGTTTGGCTTTTAAGACTATTAATCATCGAATTTGTTAACCTAATTATTATATCTGTCAATAAATAATATTACTCGGGGTTTTGGGGTTTTGGGGTTTTGGGG